ACAATGAGTTTTGTAATATTTCTACAGCTATATTTTAATATAATTGATTTCCTTTGTAATCCTATATTTTATTTTATGCATTTAAAAACATTCTGGGAAGGGATGTATTGGCTTCACCAGATTGCCAGATGGGTTCAAGGCACAGAGTAGGTGAAGAAGCCTGTCAACTTAGTATACTCAGCTTTGAAATTCAGTCTCAAGGCTAAATCTCAAGGTTCCATGTGTGGGGATTTCTTGCAGGCTTACTGTGATATTATGATTTATAATAAAATATATGTATTTAGGTATTTGGTCTTCCACCACTTTTCTGGCACAGAGCCCTTAATTCCCTTTTAAAATTTCCTAAGTGATGAGAGTGGTAAAAGGTGTCTTTTGCTATGATAACAAGGTGACTTTTGGAAAGCACCTAGATAACCTACGGATTGGGGCTGGTTGCCTGTGGAGACAACTGTGTGATTAGAGGGTTGGAACTTTCAGCCTCACCCCTTGACCTCCTGGGAGGAGAGAGATGCTAGAGATTGAGTTCAATCACCAGTGGCCAATGATTTACTCAATCATGCCTATGTAATGAAGCCTCCATAAAAAACCAAAAGGACAGGATTTAGAAAGCTTCCGGTTTGATAAACACGGGGAGATGTAAGGAGAGTAGTGTGCTCTGTACCCCTTCCCCATACCTTGTCTTGTGCATCTCTTTCATCTAGCTGTTCCTGAGTTATATCCTTTTATAATAAATCAGTAATCTCAAAATGTTTCTCTGAGTTCTGTGGGCCACTCTAGGAAATGAATAGAACCCAAGGAGGGGGTCGTTGGAACCTCTGATCTTTAGCTGGTTGGTCAGAAGCACAGGTGATAACCTGGATTTGCAATTGGAGTCTGAGGTGGGGTGGGGCATGTAGGACTGAGTCCTTACTTAACCTATGGGATCTGATGCTACCTCCAGGTAGATAGTGTCAGAATTGAATTGTAGGACACCCAGTTGATGTCGGAGAATTGCTTGGTGGTGTGGGAAAAACCCACACACACATTGGAACTGGCGACTGGAATTTTAATCTAATCTCTGTCTACATTTGAGGCCTCAGACCCTGGGAACTCATGCAGAGGTGCTTAATCTCAGTTTCTTCATTTGCCCTCTTTGAACTCAATCTAAATTGCCGAGTCTGTGGGAACAAGTCTCTGGAGCTCCATAGGAGTTTATGCGTTCTGAGTTTATCAGCTGGGAATGCTCATGATGCTCACCACACACCATGTTATTTCCTGCCTCTGAATCTTTGTATACATTGTTTCCTTGGCATGAAAGGCTTTTTTTTTTTTAATTTATTTTTTTATTTTTAGTAACACCCCCATTATTGGACACACAAACTCCCCATCAACTAGCAAAATTCCATTCAAACTTTGCATCAGCTCTGGCATCAATCTCTGAGAGGCTTGTCTTCACCTCTACAACTGGGTTAGGGACCCCTCTGCTGCACTCCCCTGGGACCTGTGCTCCTTTCTCCTCTCACATTGCACAGAGATGGATAACTGAAAAAGCTTAAACCTCAGAGCCTCAAATTTACACAGGCCATTTCCAAGTCCCTGGTTACTTGGAAGAGTATTTAAGATTTGTCACTGCACAACACAGTTAAAATACCCAGAAATTTTACGGTTCACATGTAAAGAAACTAGATAGAAGTTTTCCAAAATTTGACAACAATCTTAAAATTTACATTACTGATAACAAGTTGTGAAGTTGAACCTTTCGTAAAATATCATATGTAAAAAATTTTGATCAACTGAATGGACTTGAATTCAATTGAATTCTTTTTATTCTCTCTAGGAAATGTTATTATAAAATAATTGTCATATTTATTTACAAGAGGATATCAAAGAGTTTGCTATAAAAAAGAGAAAAATAAATAGGGGGTGAGTCAGGCAATTAATAAAAATATTTTATTTTTATGGATTTGAAGATGTTTATGGCATGTCAGTTTAAAAATTTGTAATTTGTAAAATTTGTGACTACTTTTGTAAATCTAAACCAATACTCACTTTCATACCTCAATTTGTAATTTATTTATTTGTTTGTTTGTTTATTTATTTATTTAATTATGGTGACATTGGTTAACGAAATCCAGTAAGTTTCAGGAGTACAATTCGACAGTAAAGTACATATATGTGTATGTATATATATATATTGCATTTTGTGTTCACTGCCCACAGTTTGGTTTCTTTCTGTCACCATATAGTTGACCCCTTTTACCCCATCTACCTTTCCTCTCCCTCCTCCCTGCCACCCTTGTAATATTTTTTTAAAGAGGGCTTGCAAAATTGTGCTTCAGGCCTTTTAAAACCTAGATCCATAAAACTTAATTCTGACAGAGGGGAAAAAAAAAAAGAAAAAAAAACCCAAACCTAGATTCACCCTGAAGATTGATCATGCTCTATGGTTTTTGGACAAATCTTGCATGCCAGACTGCGAGCTCCTTGAACATCTACCAAACCCCATGATCCAGCAGCATTCAGCATAGGGCCAGGCACGGAAGCAGTGAAACTGGAGGGGAACTGAGTCTGGGACTCTTGCTACCTGTGCCACTCACAGCCAAAAGTCCGACACAGGAGTCGGGCTAAATAGAATATGTGTTTATTAGAGAGTTGCAACTCCCAGAGACATAGGTGGCCATAGCTCTAAAAGCCTGGGTCCGTGAGTGTCTTGGAATCACTGATTATATAGGGAAATCGGTAGTCATGGAAACTAAGGTAGTTGGGGTGGCCAAGATCATCTTGTCTTTTCAGCTGGGCTTTGTTTCTCAGGCTACCTGGAGGGGAGGCAAGAGAAACTGGGTGTCTGGTCCTGGAATCAGCTGCTCTGTCATCTCTTGACCTTGCTACTTGGCAAAACTAGCTCATCAGGGGAGTAACTGCCTTCCTAAGAGAGTGAGAGCAAAATGTGCTTCTTAGTTACAGAAGCAGATAGTGTTTTTGAGAACAGCGGACCAGCCACCTTCTCATGCGGAGCAGGCACATAATGTCCATGGGCATGGCCAAAGGAGCATGCAGTGCCCATAACAGCAGAAAATGTCCCTGAGAGCAGGCATTGCCCAGAGAGTCCTTTGTTCATTGTCTTCCTTGGGGCAGCTGATCAAGAAGCCTTTTTTGTCTTCTGACTAATTGTGTGGGGTGGTCCTTCTTTAGCCTCAGTACTGTTTGTTAACATGGTCTTGTCCAAAGTTTGCAACCTTTGCTGTGAGAAGGAGTCACCTACAATACTTTTCTACAAACAGCTTGAGATATTATATATATCACCCATTTAAAGTGTACAATTCACTGGTTGTTAGTATATTCACAGACTTGTGCAACTGTATTAGTTTGTTAGAGCTGCCATAACAAAATGCCACAGATTGATGATTTTAACAACAAAAATTTATTTTCTCTAAAGTCTAGAAGCTAGAGGTTCAAGATCAAGTTGTTGGCAGATTTGGTTTCTTCTGAGACCTTTCTCCTTTGCTTGCAGATGTCCACCTTTTCTGTGTTCACAAGGTCGCCTCTCTGTGCACACATGTGTCTGGTGTCTCTTTCCATGTCCTAATCTCTTTTTGTAAGGACAGCAATCATACTGAATTAGGGCACAACCATATGGCCTCATTTTACCTTAATTACTTCTTTAAAAGATCTATCTCCAAATACAGTTACATTCTAAAGTACTGGAGGTAAGGGCTTCAACATATGAATTGGGGGGAGGGGGGTCACAACTTAGCCTTTAACAGCAACCATCACCACATCTAATTTTAGAATGTTTTCATCACTCAAGAGAAACCCTGTACCCATTAGGAGTCAGACCCCATTTCCTGCCTCCTCAAGCTCCGGGTAACCATTAATCTACTTTCTGAATCTGTAGATTTGCCTATTCTGTACATTTCATATAAATGGTAACATACATCGTCTTCTTTGACTAGCCACTAGTGATGTCACCTCTTTCATTACTGATTTCAATAATTTGAATCCTCTCTCTCTCTCTTTTTTTTTTTAACTTAATCCATCTAGTTTAAAGTTTGTCATTTTGTTAATTTTTTTCGAATAACCAATTTTTGGTTTCACTGATTTTCTCTATTGTTTTTCAATTTTCTATTCCATTTATTTCTTTTCCAATCTTTATTATTTCTTTCCTTCTGCTTGCTTTGGGATTACTTTGTTCTTCTTTTTCTAGTTTCCTAAGGTGTAAGGTTAGGTTATTAACTTGAGATCTTTCTTCTTGTTTTTTTTTTTTTTTTAAATATGGGTGTTTACAACTATAAAATTCCCTTTAAGCATCGAATTAGCAGCATCTTATAAATTTTGATGTGCTGTGCTTTCGTTTTCATTCATTTCAATATGTTTTCTAATTTCCCTCACGATTTTTTCTTTAGCCCATTTGTTATTTGGAAGTAAGTTAATTTCTACATATTTGTGAATTTCACAAATTTCTTTGTTACTGATTTCTAATCTCACTATACTGTGGTCAGAAAACACACTTTATTTTACATAGATCATTTTAAATCTACTGAAGCCTGCTTTGTGACTTAGCATATGTCACTTAGCAGACGTCCTGGAGAATGTTCCTTGCGCACTACAGAAAAATGTGTAGTCTGCGGCTATTGGGTGCAGTGTTCTACGGATGTTAGGATACTTTTTTAAAACGCAGATTTTTTTAGGCTGTACTCCCAGAGGTTGATTCCTCTTTCTCAGGGACTGAAATCTGTATCGTTAATAAGTTCCCCATACCTTTTCTGCGCAGTACCCATGGCTTGGAACCCATGGCCCCAGGCGTCCTCCACTTCTGGCTTCCTTTCATTTAATTATTGTGCGCGAGTAACTGTAGTGCTGTCATCCATTGCTCTAACAGACTTTTCTATTGCTCTAGCCTCGCCGTCAGGTTAGCGGAAAGGGAAATCTGTGTTCTCAGGCTCGGCTTTCGCCTCATTCTGCCTGGGCCCTGCCGCAGAGGGATTGAACCACCTGGGCGTCACGTGGTCTGCGGCCGCATGATGGCGGGCGCTGGGGAAGAT